TAAACGGGACGGGCGCGGGTCATCGTATAGCCATGATTAGCAGCGTTGCAAGGTATCTTAGCGTTCTTTTTTAGGGACTAAGATCATTTGTAAGGCAACTTTGAATAGCGTCATCGAGGGACTATGATCTTGTATTTGTTTGTTTTTTGCTAAGATACCTTACATGCGTAATATAGCCATTTTGTATAAGGCAACCAAGTGGGATAACCCTAGGGGTTCTTGTGTGTAAGTGTGTCATTTTCATGCTTTTTTTGTCTTGAATTAGGGTTTTCTATTTGATTTATTTTATCTTCCCATACAAACCCTAATTACTAGCATGTTATGTCAAAGCGATAAATTGCAAAATTTAAAGTTACTACGCTATTACAACATTTGTGGGATGGGGGTATACAATTTATGAATGGGGATTGCAAGAAATTAAAGTCCTAATTATCTATTACAACCATATTGAATGATGTATAAGAATGAAAAATGAACTTGTTTTATTTAAGAAAATAAATAAATTTTGTTTAAGAAAATATTTTGATCTTTTTATGTTAAAAGAAATAAGACATGTGAATATGAAATATTTTTGGTGTTTTTGATTAATAAATGTGATGGATAAAATGATAAGGAGAAAGAAAATGGAATCAGCGCTTTGCTGAAATAAAAGACATCAGAGGTTCTGACTCTGGCATGCTATAAGACAGAAATAAAATGTTAGCCAAAATAGGGAATTCAGAAGTTCTGGGTGCTGAGGGAAATTGGAAGTTTTGATGTTGCTGGCAGCCTAGGAATGCTAATGTTGCTGAAGGGGTAGGAGTTTCTGGTTGTTGAGAGAGTTTGGAAGTTCTGATGATGAACTCCAACTCTTTTATCATGCTAATCAGAACATCTGCAACTTGGTCATTTCTCAATAGAACAGAAAACACAAATATAGCAATTATGGTAGGTTTCCATCTTGGTTTTAGAAACATAAAAAATGTCAAGATTGTAAATCAAAAATAGGCATGTATCTGCTAAACTTAGTTTCCTTAAGAAATTCTGAACTGGTATTCTCTCTACTTAGGCAGATAAATACATGAAACTTCAGGAAATGTACAACATCAGAATCGGGATGTCTACATTTTATTTTGAGCATGCAAGTCTAACAATTCCTATGTAATATGACGAGAGTCAGCATAAGCTTACCTTGCAGTTGGAAAATGTTCTGTGAGCTGGAGTCTGGCTCTGACCGCTTGTGATGTTCTGACCAACTTCCTCACGTGCCCAGTAGGCTAGAAACCTCTTACTTGAACTATGAATGGTTGGAAAATTCTGGAACAGCCAGAGAGCCAAGTTCTGACTTCTTTGAAGTGGATATTGATGGAGGGTGTGCCACAGTCTGAACACAGAAGTTAGGATAGCTTCTAATATGTAAATCAGAAACTGTATGGTTGGTTTTGGTCAAAAAACACTTGAGGAAAAATGGAGTTTGAATGCAAGAAATCAAAGGCTAACAGGTTTTGTATTTTGTGTTTGCAGTTTCAGATTCTTGGAATTTTAGTAGGGGCTCAAGGATTTTTCTTTCTCAAATTTTCGACCCTTTTACAGTTACCAATGATGTCCAATTTATAGGCAAAGGTTTAGTAGCTTGGAAGGGTCAAGGGGCATAACCATCATATGCTAGGTGCTGACTTGTTCTTGAAGTAAGTTCAAATAAGTATGGGGGTTAGAAGTTTTAACAGCGCCTAAGCTGGATTTGTAAGCAGGATTTAAGGAAAGGTAACCTCAAAAGCAAAAGAAACGTATGGGCCCAACACACTTTTGTGCAAAAGTTTGCTTTTCCAAGACAGTAAAGGTACTTATATGCCACACGTGGGGAAATCCTTTGGATAAAGACTCAAAAGTGGTTGTGAGAATTAAATGATGATGAGATTTATCAACCCAGAAATCCTGCAATGTGAGATTTTGCATCATTTCTTAATTCTGGCTCAGAAGTTCAGCTTCAGCGTAATTTAGAATAAACATCCAACTTCTGATCTTTGTATCTCCTTGCTCCAGCATGTTCTGAAGGAGACTTTCCAGGAAGCTTGCAACACACTTTGTAAACCTTTTTTGAATTACCCTTGCAAACTGTGACTGAATCTTTGTGAGAACTGACCTAGAAGTTGTAACCAAACTCTGTCTTGGAACTGTCTAGAATTTGTTGAGTGCTGTAGTTTTATGGACGTGTCTTTGAGGAGTCATAACTTGAAATCCCAACATTTCTAGGAGAAGTTTTATTCTGCAATGTTTCAGATCTTGTTTGATTCCATAACTCTTGTGTTAGAAGTTAATCCAGAATCAACTTGCATCATGGTAATAATCTGATCAGAAGTTCCGAGCTTGTCATATTTCTTAAACACTTAGAAAAATTCTAAGTATTTAGAAATTTGACTTTTCCAAAGTAACTTTTAACTTTTGAATTTCTAGATGAAAAAAACCTTATATTTTAACATGTCTTGATGAAATATGATTCTTGGAACTTGATTTTGATCTAAAAGTCATAGTTTGACTTTTCAGTGTGCAAATGACCATTTTGCCCTTGTGAATGACTTTCTTGAAAAAAAATTGTAATTCAAGACTTGAAATTGGATGGGAACAAACCTGAGGGTTCAGGGCGATCCTTTGAGAAATGAGAGGGCAAATTTTGGGGTACAACACTTTGATTCCAAGAGGGAATCGATCCTATGGTGGAGATCTATGGAGGGTGATGAGCTAGGTGCTCATAAATGTTGGTCACATGCATTATGTTAGTGTTGTTGCATTAGCATTCTATGTGACATTGCATGAATTATATTGATGACTTGTGATGTGATAATAACTGTGAGCTATGTGAATATGTAATGAATTAACGATGAAGGATGTTTAAGTGCTATTGTGATGTATCAGTGAGTATGAAATGTTGATGAATGATGTGTATTAATTGTATGATGATGTTGTTTGAAACTACTAATATTTTCCTTATATCTTTTATAAGGAATCATGATTACTCACCCTTCTGTTTGAATGTTTCCTCCATGTGGGTAATGTGCAGGTGACCAGAATAATTGGTAGAAGCGTTTGAAGATAGCTTCGAAGTGTTTTCTATTATTTTATTTTTTACTAGAAGGTGTCTTGCCCTGATATGTAACATTGGGTTGGGAACACTTAGTTTTCCGAATGTTATGTCCTTTTATATTGACATACTTTATGAAGGTTTTGGTTATTGAACTAATTATAAATATCTTTTTTTATGAGACTAAATATGATGAGTAGATAGTTGTGAATACTTATGATTAATGATGATTTCACTGCTTGTTTTTTAAAGACATCTTGATGTCGCGTGAAACATCGTAAATGTGTATAATATAAGAAGTTGTTATTGTCGTTGTTGTAATTCGTGTTACAGAGTAAGATTGCATGTTATGATGTTTTATTATGATGATGTGACACCCTTGATTAGTGGAAATATTTGAATTATTCATAAATTATCCGTGTTTTAAATGTGGGGTTAGAAGATGTTACATATAGCATTGGAACAACTACGTATCTAACTCCAATGGTTTAAGCCTATTATCCTAAATTATCATACCCTGGCATAAGCCACATTACAACCGATGAAATACCTCAAAAGTGTGTGTTTAAATATGACTTTTATTGATTTGATTAGAAAATTTTCAATTTCATTGATAAATGCTATAATATGTCTATTGAGTGATTATCATGTCAAATTGAGTGCATCATAATGAGTGAGAGACGGGTTAAGTATTTGTATGTCAAAATAACTTTTCCGAGTTGATTAGATCGAAGCAAGGAAACCAAATGTTAATCAGAAAAATGTGACATTCATTGGTAAGAGTAAGCATTTTAATTTTGGGGAAATGTTCAGTGTGGAGATAGTTTACTTGAGGACAAGAAACAATTAAAGTTTAGCATTGTGATGATAGTCGTCATTACGTAATTTTTATGAAGAAATTCAGAGGAATTCAGAAGAATATTGACCAAAAGCAAAGCCAAAGTGTGAAGAATTAAACACCTAGTGGAAATTATGGAGAAAAAGGGAGAAAACGTGTGATTTTTCCACTAGAATTCTCATGGCCCCGATGCATCTCATCGTAGCACGATGGGACTTGCATCACAGTGTGATAGTGAATGTCACAGACACGATGGTGCTTTTTCAGCTGACACGCTTTTCTCTATTTAAAGCATCTTTTGGCCACTTTTCAAGGGTTTTGAATCATAGACGAAAGTGATGGCTAGGGTCCTTCAAGGGGAAATTTTCGAGCATATTAGATACATTGGAGAATAATTATTCCATAGATTTTGAGATGGATACTTCTCCACTCATGGTATTTGTCATATTATCAATGAGTAACTAAGTTTCTTTATATTAAGGCTTTTTGAGATGAACCTTGTTTTTACTCGGTTGGATCATATGTTTGTTTGAGATTTGTTTAGTACTTTTATTGCTAATATATTATTTAAATTGTTCTTGTATTTAATGTTTTTTGTCGCTTACAGGCGTGCGGGTCGATCTAGATAATTAGGGTTTTTGATCGTTAGTCTAATTATCTGAAATAGGAAATTTATTCAACTTTGTAATGAAGTAGGAATAATAATTTAGAAGTTGTTGCTAATGAATTATCATGCTTAGAACGCCTAATTTAACCTTGAATTGGCCTAAGAAATTAGGGAATTATCATACAAATTAGTGAGTTCCATACCAAGAAATTGAGTGTAGTGGTTATGTTAATTCGTAGTGAGATAATAATATAATTGAAACTTAACAGGTACATAGTCCATCAACAGGTAAAAATAAGGGGATTCGATAATAAAATCATGTTCGCCTTTTGCAACCTTGAATTTCATATTTTAAATTCTCATTTTTGAACCGCTTTTCTAAATTTCGCACGTAATTAGCTTGTTAAATGACGATCCTCGTGGAGAGGATCTTTTTATTATTACTTCAACACTATCAGAACACTTGTCAAGAATTAATCCCCACCAAGTCCCAAAATTTACATGAGCATGATTGTTTTGCCAAGTCCACCACAAAGCTACCAGTAAACATGACATATGTAACTTGAAATGTTAACATACATGCATATGTTGCAGTCCAACTTGCACATTTTTCTATTTTTCTATATAAAATCCTAAGTGGTTTGAACATTATAACTCTTTTATACCCCTCTAGCTTTTCCCTAAGTGTGACAAACCTTCCCGTAAGATAATTCTCTACCATTCAAGACATTATGCTCTAAAATGGCATTCTTGAATTGATTCAATGAGGAAAACTTCATTCCAACCTTGAAAGTAAAATCCTTACTAAGATCATCTTCTTCATTGAATCTAATTATACTAGGCCTATCATCACAACTTTTGTCATTTTCCCCATGGTCAAGTTCATCGCACATATAGTCTTCCTCAATTATATGTTCCCCACCCATCTCTTGTGTGATAAAGGATTTGTTGGATGGTTCACTTTGAAGGACCAAGCGCTTACCACTAAGTAAAAAACAATTAATATTAGTCAGGGTGCAACTATATTTCCTTATAGTGAACCCCAAGGGATCTACGTGGCACACCTAGTACACATGTGTAGGCGCCCATGGGTGGGATGTTAAGCCCATTGAATCCCTTAGGGTGATGCTGGATTAAATAATCCAACAATCTCCCCCCCTCCCCCCGGTGTCAGTCGAGGGGATTCAAACCAATGACCTTGCTCTGATACCACTTGAAGGATCAAGCGCTTACCACTAGGCCAAACACAATTTCTATTAGTCAGGGCGCAACTATATTTCCTTAGTGAACCCCAAGGAGCCTACCCGGGCCACCTAACACACCTGTGTAGGCGCCCATAGATGGAATGTTAAGCTCATCGAATCCCTCAGGGTGACACTGGATTAAATAATTCAACACACTTGATTAACAACATGTGTAGCTCTAGGTTGGCCTTCATCCATACCTACATCAAACACATCCATCCTTTCCTCCTCGCCATCATCAAAATGTATACCCTTCACAGATTCATCACTTGATTCACTAGAATTAAGAACCTCTTCCTCACACTTCTTTCCTTTCATTTTCTCTCTAACCTTATCCATAAATGTGTTTTCTTCTGTAAGTGGCTTTGCCTTTGTAAATATTTCCAATTCACAATTATTTCTAAATGCAAACAAAGCTAATCCATATGCATCTCCATCATCCCTAAAAGGTTTTAATGAAATGGTGTAGGGTTTATAATGTTTCGTTTTCTAACTTAATTAAAATAATTTTAACTTAAGAGAACTATTTTTTTAATCTATGTTGGTCAAGTCAACATCTGCCGAGCTATAAAAATTATGTCATGTGTGCTACCGTGTCAGCCTCTATTAGTGGAAACTAACGGAAGATATCAAATTTATGAAAGAAAAATATTTAAATGATTATTATTTGAATAAAAATTTTATAGAGACTAAAATTGATCCAATTTATTTATAAGAATTAAAAATATATTTAATCTATAAGTATTTCTATAAAAATAAAAGAAACTTAAAAAACAAAAATTTCACTTATGCGAACCTGCATCATCCTAAAATCGCTGTTTATATTGTATCAAGCAACTGAACTATGATATATAAAATAAATAAATAAAAAAGGAAACACATGAATATAACTTCTTAAAACTTATTTCCAACATATTATACATGGTTATCAAGCCAATTAATCATCATTTTTTTTTTGAAAAGAACAATCATCATTTTTCAATCAAATAGAGAACTAGTTTCCTTTTTATTTATATTTATGTATTAATTTTTTTTTTTTGAAAAGAACAATCATCATTTTTCAATCAAATAGAGAACAAGTTTCCTTTTTATTTATATTTATGTATGAGTTTAAAGTTATGTTTAGATTGATAGAATATAATGGAATAGAATGAAGTGGAATGAAATGATATTATTTTTTATTGTTTGGATTGATAAAAAAAAAATGATGGAATGGAACGGAATATGATGAAATTTCATTTAATTTCTTATTTTTTATTTCATTTAACTTGAGGTGTAAGAAATGGAATGAGACATTTTAATTATAATAATTAAATATTAGAGTGAGATTTATATTTCATTCTATTCCATCAATCTAAACATAGGTTAAAGATAATGCACAAAAATTACAAATTAATATTATATATAATCAATCAAAACTCTTATATTTATCATATTATATCTGTATTTTAAAAATAAAAATGTATTCTAATTGGATACATGTCTCACGGTAGACAATAGAAAAATATTTTATATTGTCGGTGTATATTTTTTCTCTCTCTTTATTTATACCAAGTGATAGAATAATTCTCCTATATAGATAATAGATAATATATTATTTTAAGAATAATAAAATTTGTTAGTTAGTTCAGTGGTAATTGATATTAAATTTAATAAGAAAAATTATAATTCGATCTCCACAACCGTGAACTATATTGATAGTGAACAAAATAATATTTTTTATTTAATTTTTTCTTCACATTAATAAAAAGTGAAACGTCTTTCTTTAAGTTCAATTGTTTTTACAAACATTTCTTCTCCTTTTTTTTCTACTAATTTACAAGATATAATTATTTTCTGATACGTTCAACATTTTCTATAAAACAAGATAGGGCATTATATATAATTGAAATTTTGTAACTACATGTAGAAGTAGTGTTTGCGTAGATATAATTTCACAAGAACATAAAGAAATGGTTACTTAACTATTTCAGCAGGTGATGCAAGCCCACTAAAAAATTTGGCAGTGCATTTTTTAATACAATGAAAAGGATTGAATATAATAAATACACAAACTTCTTAGATACTATTATAGTAGAGTTGAACTTCCAACACTAAAATTGACAAGAAAGAAAAATGGAGGGAGATGAGTTAGGTAGCGTATGAAGAATATAAGATCAATTATTTTGTTTTTCTGTATTCGTGGTACATGCATATTGATTTGCATTGTGGGCTCCTAAGTCGTGTTCTCCTCTACCAATTGGAGAGTTCAACTTTTCAATCTCATAATAGAGCAAATCAACCATCATTGATGTGGACTACATTATGTATGGGGATAAGATTGAAAGTTGTCGAGTACACATATTTGTTTTTTTCTAAGAGGAAATTAAGATGGGAAACAAGATAGTATATCATACCAACCAAATAAATTGGTTGATACTTGTTCTTGAGATTTGGGTAGATTGCATGAGATGGGGTATGGTTTAGGTGTGCCCACCTACTCCTCATTCTACGCTTGGTTTATGCTATATCCACGCATATCCATGGGTTTTGAATGGAAGAAAGTACATGGTATATATTTATAATTATAAATGAGTGTGACTTTTTTTTTAATCTTGAAATTGTAAGTGAAGGCAATTTGAGAATCTAAATTTATGAAATGTCAAATTATTTTATTAGAGGTATAATTGTTGAAGTGTTATTCGAGTTTAGATGATATAATTTGTTGAAGTGTAATTTCAATTCAGATTGAGTTAGATGAATTACTTGTTATACAAGTAATCAATTGAGTTGGTTAAATTGTTGAGCTTAGTTAGTGATTGTAAGCCCAATTAATAGTCTATAAAAGTCATCTTGTGATGATTTGTGAATATGAATGAATATAATAAGTGAATGTGAGATGTAATATATACAAACTCATTTTTCATTATGCTTTTTCTCTTTCTCTTTTATGTTATGTTATGTATTGTTTTAATAAGGGGTTTATAGAATCTCAAATTTTTGGGTTTTAATAGCGTTTAAGATTTGGTGTTGTTTCTACTTATTTTTAACATCAGTATAAGCCAACGAGTTACAGAGTCCCAAAGGTACGCGGAATACACATTTCAGTCTCTCTTTTATTATATATTTATTTAATATTATTTTAGTCTTTGATTTAGTTCTTAGTTTCTCCTAAATCAATTATTCATTAGCCTTAGCTTTACAAAGCAACGATAGATTATATTAGGTTGATATTGGTCTCAGTGAGTTCGATAATCTTTTATATTACTTCTACATTTTTGTGCACTTGCAGACATATCATGTTTTTGGCGCCATTGCAGGGGACCAACAGTCAATATTATTTTTTCCGTTGTTGCACCGTATAGACTAAGACACTCTAAACTTAATTACTATGTATCACCCGTATTTTTTATACAATTCCCATTCTTAGTATTTCGAGGAATCACAAGAATCCCATAAACCCGACCTCGAAATACTGATGGAAGATTTCAATGCTTCACTAACTCACTCTCACTCAAATTACCTCTACAACTACCAATCCCGACATTTTGAGGAGTCACAAGAATCCCATAAATTCGATCTCGAAATATTACTGGAGGATTACAATGCGACACTAACTTATCCTTAACCAAATTTCCTCTACAATCACCACGCCCAATATTTTGAGGAGTCACAAGAATCCCAAAATTCCACTCTCGACACATTAATAGAGGATATGACTGCGACACTAAATCGCTCAAGGCTAGAAACATGATGGAGCGCTTTGTGAAAACACAAAATGCGACGCTAACCCATTTTGAGGAACCACAAGAATCCCATAATTTCAACCTCACAACATCAATGGAGGATTCCAATGCGACGCTAACTCACTCTAGGCTAGAATCTATGATAGAGCATTTTGTAGAGACACAAATTGTCCAAAATGAAGAGATATGAAATCAAAGTCTTCAAAATAATGAAAACCTTAGGCAGATTAATAATGCGGTTGAGTCCCTCGCGACTCACAACATAGCCTTGGAGACCCAAATCTTCATGCTTGCAAAAAATCTTCTGGGATCCTTCCCTGAGGAGCATGTGGATGTTGAAAAAACCAGTAGTGAAAAACAAATCAAAAATCCTAAGGAGAGTGATATTGAGGTTGAAGAGAGTAGTAATGAGGTTGAGAAGAGTTCTGATGTGAAAAGAGTAGAGATTGAGAAAAATACACTATCGCCGTCTAAAGGGAGGTTGTCGAAGAGGTAGAGAAGAAAATATCTATTATTATTCCTCCTCCCTATAACCCACCTATTTCTTTTCTGCAAATATTCGTGGAAGCTAATGTAGATGCCCAATCCAATAAGTATGTGGAGAACATTCACACCAATGTACCTTCGTTTGAGGTCCCGCGTAAAAAGAGAAAATTTGAGGATCATGAAACTAAGGAAATCAACAATTTTAAGAGGGGAAGGCTAACCTTTGAGATGGTAAATGAAATAACTAAGCCCAAACTTGAAAAACTCATACTCAGGATAGATCCATAACCACCACCACAAGTCCAAAAGAAGGAACCACCCCACAAAAGAAAGAAAAGAAAAAGGTGAGGGATATGTGAGATGGCTTGATAAGTGACCATGGAAACCAAAGAAGATTAAAAATTCGATCAAGGAGTCATTCTCGAGAGAATCACCACAAGTACTACACTCTTGAGTCTTCGAGCTACCGACGTTAAAAGAAGCACTGTGTGGGAGGCAACCCACGAGTTTTAATTTAATATTTTTGCTTTTATTTGAGTTTGCAGAAAATAAAGATATCAATCAATTGGCACCTATGATCAGGAAAGCATTGATCAGGTTCTTATTTCTTTTCCCACTTTTTACTGAAACATTGAGGATAATGTTTGGTTTAAGTGTGGGGGAGGAACTTTAGCGCTTTCCATTTATCACTTTTTAGTTTGATTTATTTGTTTTCCAGTTTATTGCATGTTTTTAGGACTTTATTAGTTTTTAGTATCTGGTTGATTCATTGCATGTGATGTCGAGTCTGTATGTCTGTTTTTCAGTTGTTATTGAATTTCCCTGAAATTTTAAAAATTTTGACCTCCCAACAAAAATTTTCAATTTTCTTTTCTAATGCATGGCACACACTCTGAAAGTATATAGGCTTTTAGGATGTGTTAGAGAGACTTGGGAAAGTTTCGATAAAATCGATACCTTTATGATACCCTAAACCCCCTCATTATACGATATCAATTTGGATACCCATTATACCGAGACCTTAGGCTTAATTTTTTAAAGTAGCTCTTAAAGTAGTTTATATTAGCAATCAGCATCATCTTAAACACAAACCATGTAGAAAGTCGATGAATATAAGTGAATGATCCTGTTTTTAATAAATAAATTATTTAATTGAAAAATAACCTTCTAAGTTAGGTGACTCTCACCCGGTCATTTAACCCAACAGTTGTTAAACTTGTAAGGATTTAATAATAAGCACCCATTGTAGGTTGGTCCAGAGGTCTCTAGTACTGGACTTGGTAGGGCGGGATACGGTCTGTTCCCCCACAACCGCAGTTGGGAAAAATGGGGATGCGCCTCTTAAATACCAGAACCCTATGCTAAAGAAAAGAAAAACATCATAATCGTTAACTGATTTACCCTACTATGTGCGCGTGCAGATAACAAGCTTAATGTGATTGCGCTTGAATAAAAAGAGTGAAATAAAAACAAGAAATATAAGTTGAGTTATAATGGTATGATTCAAATTGGTTTGCATAAAGAGGGAGTCTTTGAAACACTGTGTCGTTACAGTATCATTGGTATCAAATACTTAGTACTTATCAATCTAACATTAACCTAGCAGCCGCGTATAATTAGTAGTCGTGTCGTGCCTTTGTTTTGAGCCGCGCTTAATCATTTCTTTTACCGTGTCGGTTGATTGCTTGAGGATAAGCAATGGTTTAAGTATGGGGGAATTTGATAACGCGAAATTATATCATTTATTCAACTTGACTCGCGTACATTTTTAATATTGTTTTTATTATTTATGTCATATTATGCTGGTAATTTATTGTATTCCAGGTATATGCTAGAAATGAACCTAAATATGAAGAAGAGAAAGAAACCGGAAGAAACAGAAAAACAAAATGGAAGATACAAAGAAAAGAATATATATATATATATATATATATATATATATATATATATATATATATATATATATATATATATATATATATATATATATATATATATATATATATATATATATATATATATATATATATATATATATATATATATATATATAAAGGATTATGTGGGCCCAGCCACACACTGTGCCCCTCGTCACACTTAAATCCATGCTCCGGGGCACGCAACCCATGCCCCTGGTCATAGTACTGTGCCCCTCGACACACATGGTCTTCCGGTTGACACGCCTTAGAATTATATGTGCCCCTCGGCATGCAACACATCCCGCTCGGCACAGTCCAAAAGTGTGTGTGCCACACGGCATGCAAACCATGGCGCTCGCCACGGTTGTCCAAAAGCTTTATTTCCTTAATTCTCTCCACGTCTCCAACGAAGCAGCAATATTTTCTCTACGACTAGTTCTACCCATGATCACCACATCCTAGATTTTTGGGAGAAAGTCAGTTTCAACCACCATGCATTCTGGATTCCGCTACTTCCTAATCCTTCTCCAACAGAAGTGATACATAGGCTATATAAGAGAAGCGCTTGTGCAGTGAAAAGGGACGGAGAATTTTACATTCAAGTTTTGTGTGCAGAATATTATTCTTAGTTTTTAGACAGAAAATTTTACCATATAAAAGTGGTAGTTTCTCACATCGAGGAACTACCACACTATTAGTACTAGGATTTCTTTTGTGTACGCTTGGATCAACAATTCTGCTGGAATTCTTCTTTCAATTTAGTTTCAGAATCAATTTTAGTTCATCTTTTATTTTCAGGTTTCATTTTAGTTATTACTTTAATTATTTCAAGTCTTTATTATTTCTGGTTTTATCGCTTTTATTATTATTATAGTGCTTCTCTTAATTTTCAGTTTTGATTATTGTCAATTGTTGCTGTAATTCAATTTCTAGTTTCAGTTCGTATTGCTATTATTATTATTCACCGCGTATTTAAATACCATGTTGTTCTTAATTGTAAATTTTATGTTTAATTAATTTTCAATTAATTTCATGTCTAACTAAATTATTTAGAGTCCAGAATGTGAGAACCGTCGCCTCCGACGGGACTCGGTAACAAATGTTGGCTTAATTAATTAATTTAGAAATTATGTTCCGGGCTTTGTTTTTAAACTCAATTTAAATAGATTTGTCACGAGAGTGAGAGGTTACTTAACACGATTTTTCCATGAGAGTGAGAAATTAACTAAGGTTCGAGCCGGCACTACGAGAGCGTGGGGGTCGAACTGGATAGTAGAAACTAGGCATTATTATAAACATAGCGAGCGCGCTTTAAGATTAATTAGAATTTGTTCAATTTTCAAAGCACATTTCTTAA